GTTTCGTCTTTTATTACAAAATTCGAAACCTCTAGTGTCATTCGAAGCTTTATAGATGATGACAAAGGGAATTTTAGATAGAGATACGTCATGATGATGGTGATGATGAGTCGCGTGTCTTTGAAATTAGGTTACTTTAAACCCCTCAAAAGGCGTTTCTAATTAATAGAAAATTAGTCTATTCTACACTAGATGATGGCGATGTCCTTGTCTGGCAGGTTGGAAGACGATAGAAGAGAGCGGTTCTGGTGTTACAGACAATAGAAAATAACAAGGAATTCGCTTTAAATTGTAAAAAAATCGGTATCATTTTAAGATATATATGGCATATTTTCTCCCGTTAATAAGGAGGGGGGAAAGGTGTCGTTGTCGAGTTAACCTTCAAATTACTGCACACTCGAACGTAACCAGCGTGACGATATCAGAGTAACGAAGATAACTTCCACGACGCCCACATTTTTAAACAAATGATAGTTTTTACGAGACAAATTTTACGAGCGTAACCAATCTTTATTAATCTCCCTTTCTCCTGTTATTGTTAAATTTAGAGTAACACGACACGTGGCATAATCAGCGAAGTAAGATTCGAAGAAATCTCGTTTTGAATTAACAATAGAAATCTGTCAAAAGCCGCCGCCATCTTGTCTCCTCGATGTCAATTCGTACGTAACGCACAGAACGACACGGCCGCCATCTCCATTTAACGCCATTTTGATGAAGTAGCGCAATACCGAGGTGTATTATTGCATTACAAACGAAGACACCGCCTCGTATATTTAGCACACGTCCTGTACTTTTATTAGCTACACATAATTAGGGAACAAAGTAGACACCAAGACTAACAGACGTTTCCATAAGAAACACACGAGCTACACTTATAAAACATAAAAAAACAAGGAAGAAGATACCGTACATCCGTTAGCGAAAGCGAAAGTAAGGGCGTCGTATTTAATTTTGAACTCTGATCCGTTTCTGGATAATTGCCATTGTTTCCTAGTTCACTAGTCCTTGAAAGAACAGAACCAAGGACTGGACCGTGTCGTACATTTTATCCCTTAACTCTTATCTCTTCTGGTGATTATTAACGTGAAAAATAATGATCACCCCCGAAACAAGGGAGTCGATATCTTTAAAAATACACTTCCCAATAGAAAAACAATATCCTCTTGTTTCTATATAAACTACGAAGATGTTTACAATAGACCTATATAAAAAAAAATAGTATATAGGACACAGTCTTTGTGTAGTTTGATAAGATAATGTTAGCATTATCGTCGATAAACTACACTAGAGGTATTTATTTTTCTAGTTGAGTTCAAATAAAACTCCATCTTTGGTAGGGGCAGTGTTTGCGAAGAAGAGAATATAATCTATCCTCGTGTTATTGACTATTATTATTGGTTGTATTTCCTCTTCTATAAGAGATAAATTAAATAATTTAAAAAATAAAAATAAAATTAATGTAGTGTAGACGTCAAGGAGCGAAGATTGTTACGAATTCCGGGACACTACAAAGTGCTTTTCTTAAAAGGAAGCGATGGTACTTTTTCAAAAGCAGACTACCATTTCAACATCGACCCTTGGATCTAAATAGTAGCTTAGTGTTCAGCTTAGGGGCTCTAGACGTTCGTTTCCTGCTATCAGCCTCTTTTACAACTACATCGTGCACTTCTTTTATTGCCAGGAAGAGGTTGGTAGATGTAGACTGCACCTACGTTTCCAGTAGAACAAGTGGCAATGGAGTGAAGGAAGAAAACATGGCGAGAAATCGAGGAACACAAGAAAAAAAAAATAAATAAACTTCACCAAGTCGTGACTAAATTAAGCGATTTTAACGAATAAATCGCTAAGAATTTATAGAATAAATGCTTAAAAGAACGGTAGAAGAAGTTATTTCTTAAAATAATTCACTTAAAAGCACGTATTTTATATTAATTTTCGAATTAATCCATTAACTTTTGAGCAATTTCAGCTGTTTTTGAATGTAAACGGTTTAAAAAATACGTAACAGTAAAGGAAACCGATTCATTGTTGAAAACGATTATTTTTTTAACCCACGTGTTCGACTCTTAAAAAAATATTAATCTATTAAAGAAATTGACATAATTTCGTCGAGAATCGGTCAAAAATTTAACACGTGGTTTGTAATCGATTAGAAAAGTATTAATCAATTACAAAACCACGTGTTCAATTTTTGATCAATTTCTAATCAATTACAAACCACGTGTTCGAATTCTAATCAATTACAAACCACGTGTTCGATTTTTGATCAATTTCTAATCAATTACAAACCATGTGTTCGATTTCTGATCAATTACAAACCACGTGTTCGATTTTTGATCAATTTCTAATCAATTACAAACCATGTGTTCGATTTCTGATCAATTACAAACCACGTGTTCGATTTTTGATCAATTACAAACCACGTGTTCGATTTCTAATCAATTACAAACCACGTGTTCGATTTTCGATCAATTTCTAATCAATTACAAACCACGTGTTCGATTTTTGATCAATTTCTAATCAATTACAAACCACGTGTTCGATTTTTCGATCAATTTCTAATCAATTACAAACGTAAATGAACACATTTAATTGTTGAAATCGATTATTAAAAATCAAATTCGAAAAATGAATCGGTTACAGAAATCGATTTAAATTTTAAACGACACACACACACACAAAAAAAAACCACGTGTTATGTGCAAAAATTAAAACTTAATTGCACAAAATTAACTTTAAAAAATCGCCATATTTACGCGTAATTTGAATTATTAATTAATTTTTAATAATTATATTTTTAATTAAAAAAATAAATAAATAAAATTTTGGTTTCATAACTGGTTGCATATTTGTGAATTTATGTAATTTATTTATTTATTTTCTGTTTCTGCAGCAGTTTGTTGCAGCTGTATCACTGGGAGAGGAGGAGGAAGAAGAGGAGGGGAGGAAATACAATAAAAAATATATAAAAAAATTCAGTGGATATCGTCACAATCGATACTGTTTTTTTCTTCTTATCTGTTTCATGATCACTCTTTAACACAAATCATTCTTTCCTTGCAACTGAAACCGAAAACAATGATTCAGAAAACAATTTTTAGACAAGTTACAAGTTTCGTCACGTATCTTTAACGTTTGTTCGGCCTGATTCATGGTGAATTAGGGAATTTTAAATAACTACGAACACTCGAGCGTCTTTATCTTAAATTAGATAAATAAATAAACGATAAATTTGGCGGCAGAAAATTGAGGAAAATCGTAAGAGAAAATTGCAGGAAAAAAACAAAATAAAGAAGAAAAAAATAACTTTGGAAATAAGGAAAAGCGTAGACAAACAAACAGGCAAACGTATGTTATTAATAATTAATAATAGAAGAAATGTTGGAAATTAATGAGGAAAAATACGTTAATTTATCGTTTTTTTACAAGAAATTATCGAGATTTTGTGACGATATTAAGAAAACCTGTGATAAGAAAGTCACTCTATACGTGAAGACACTCGAAATGATGTAAACGTGCGAAGAGAATTAATGAAGTGAGCTACAGGTAAGTCACACCGCTGAAGAAACACAACGATAGATGTTAGGTATATATAAAAAAACAATGCCAAGAATATTAAAAAAACACGTTAAGAAGTGTATAAAAACGTGTATACAAGGGTATAAAGAAATATACTGTACAAAAAGCAGGAGTGAAAAAAATGTGTTTGTACAGTACATATCTATACCCTTGATTAAACATTCTTATAAGCATTTTTCACATATGGTATGTACAAAAATACATAAATATACGTTAAAATGTTCAATCAAAAATGATATGTAAATGCAAAATATGCATAAAAAGAACATAAGAGGATGTGTAGAGAGATGCACGAAAAATTGAAATGTATAATTACATATATGTAAGGTACAAAGACGTTAAGGGGAATTGTACTAAAACGTATAGAAGTTAAAAATACGTGTACAGTGCGGAAACATAGAAAAATACGAATGTAAAAGGCGCTTTAAAAATGTATACGAGATAATAAATGTGTGTATAAATATAAAAATGCGTATTAAAGTGTGTAGAGTAGCGAGAAATTAAAACAAAAAAAATGCAAGAAGTACATGAATTGTAAAAATAAATATCCAAATTATAGCGTATGAACTAGAGTAAATACGAGTTGTAAAGGTTATAGGTGATAAGATACGTAAAGGTAAGCCGTATAGAAAGTTACAATATTTATTTATGTATAATTAAAGGTGGTGCTAACAACACTTGTTATGTAAAAAAAAAACAACTTATAAAAGTGTAAAATCGTGTGTAAATTTATTATAATAATAAACGGGATGCTAGTGTGGAGAATTGTGCATAATATTTATGCCCTATTTACAGTGACGTATGCAATATACGCAAATTAAAACGTATTATGCAATATACCGTTGCGGTGAACGGTATAAAAGGTTTATACTACCGTATAGGCGCGTTAACGAAACAGGAGAAGTGGTCGAACACGAACAAGTGGTACAGTGTCAAGTGAATAGAAATTACCAGTTAGCAACAGTAACACACAAACGAAACAATCAATCAAGAGACACAACAATGCTAGACTTTTCCCCCCTTCACAAGCCCTCTTAATCTTCATTTGTAGATATTCGGATTATTGAGTTTTTTTCCTCGTTTGTACGCCTTATCTGCAAGGGCCGAGTTGCCGCACGCGCATATATATACACACACACACACAAAAATATTCGTGTTTTAAGAAGACGAGAGCCAAAAATCACCCCCGGAAAACACACATTTTTATCTATGTCCCGAGTGCTGTTTAGTTACCGCAGTCACGTGATTGATCTGTGAGGGAAGCGGTAGTCGTCTACACACACACACACACACAACGTTCTACTTCTGTAAAAGAGACCAGTGTTCCAGCTGCAGGGGAAAGGGGGGGATGATTTTCTGCTATAGGAACTTTAAAAATAAAAGAGGGGGGACACGGTTCTTCTTGTCTGTTCGCTCTATCGGCACTAAACCATGCGATTTCTGACCTTCAGAACGTGTCATATTGTCAACTCTAATATCTTCCTTCGGGTACCACGTCAGCAAACGTGCAGCTGCGTCATCTACGTCTACACCGCTGTAAACTTCTTTCCAGCTTTTTGGACGCTCGGGGGTTGTTTCCGATGACGTTTTAGTATCTTGTTAGGACCAAGCTTAGTCGGTTGTGCAGCTGGCTGTAACAAATTTAGTGTACGACATCTCTTCGCCGTTCTTCACTCGACTAGCGCTCTTCGGTGTACGTGTACAGCGCGCGAGTCTTTCGGGGGGGTAGGAAAGGAAAAGCAATAGAGCATGCGCCCCCTCCGTCCGACTGTTTCGCGTATCTTCTATACGGAAACGGCACATCCTTAAAGGGATATCTTTGCAACGTAACCGACGATAATTTTGCAAAACCCGAGCAGAAAATCTCTCTAGTGTTACAACCAGCGCTGGGAGGAAGGGAGGGGGGGAGTTGCGAAAAAACGTGCGCCGGTATCTAAGCACTTCCGTTGTTTGCTATTGCTGCGTGGCAAATTGAGGGTGGTGAGTTAACGTTTTTATCTCGCGCGCTTCTTCTTCGACCCCCCTCGCAAACGGGCGGAACAAGTGCACAAGAAACGGGGGGAAAGCAAAACAAAGAAAGAAAGTGGAACCAGCAAATGCACCAACCCACCATCCACGTGGGTGAAAACGCAAGAGGAATGGTCCGTCACGTGACTCGTGCCTGTATCTAACCCCTCGCTCGATGGTAACGACAAATACCACGATAAGGTACAACTGTAGTGTGTCGTTACTTAAGTAAGAATAGTTCGAGCAGTGTTATAGATGTGTTTCGAGGCCTTCGATTGTTTCTTCTGTGGAACTAACAAAATGGCGCACCACATAGGAAGTTGATGATCCTGTAGAAACTACTCCATTACAGAACTGAACAGTTTACTCGAAGACACCAGAACGTACACAGTACAGGACAGTGAAGAAGTTATTTTTACGTTCTCTTATCCAGGATACTGTTACTGATACAGTGTTACTTGATTCGTGGTAGGTACGAACGTGATGTTATCTACGTTATAACTATATATTTTTTTTTTTCTGTGTCTTTCCACTGTTGGGTGTTTCTAGTGTGGTACAGATAGGCGTTGTTGAGGTCGACTCCATCTTGATTTCTTCATTCCACTGCTGTTAATACCTAACATTTTTTACTGTTTATGTTTTTCACCACCCAACTTTCTGTAATTGTTACATGTAAGTAACCTGACTTGTACCTAACTGATACCACAAGAAAAGTAATTATTATTTTAATGTTAATTACATTTAAAATATTTAAATTATTTTCTTAAATTTATCAGCAATTTTTAATGGAGTAATTCTATTAATGTACGTGTTGAAATTGTATCTGATATGGAAGAGTCATTTCCTGTTTCTGTTACGACTCTTGCAGGGGTAACGCTTTTCTTTTACGAACGGCGCGTTCAGAACCTTCGCCCGCTTACGGTAAGGGAAACAAAACTGCGTGCCACGAGTTCCGACCGAGCCGGATGCTGCGCGTGGATCCGCTTTAAGGTTTAAAATGGAGACTGTGCAAATCGCAAAGCGTTTGATTAATTGGAAAGCCGTAGACCGGGGATGGGCGACCTTTATCTATGTGAGGGTTGCGTTTCAAAACTTTTACACTGAGGCGAGCCGCATACAAGAGAAAAGAGGGGGAAATGTCGGTAATTCACAATCATTTATTCATATATAGCATAGGTATACTTAATTTAGCTTCTGGAACTGATGTAAACGTAATATATCAGAAATATCGGGCCACAAAAAATATTACCGAGGGCCACACAACGCCAGACTTGGTCTGATGTTGTGTATACAAATTTTGCATACCGATAAGTACATGTAATGGTTTTTAAGCTGCGTCAAAGCTTGCGTGCAGGAAATGATACAATAGATGTGAAAATACGATGTTTAAATTTGTCTTGATCAATTTTCCAGTTGTTCTAAAGATTATTCAGGCTTCTAATAAGAATTAGACATTCAATGAATTTGTACATGTTAAAGGAACATTTTCCATGTTTATTGACTGTTTATGGTAATTTATAGGAGTATATTAGCAATATCGTTGTTAAATATTGTAAAAAACAGCTTGTTTATTTGTAAAATTCAGCTTTTTGTGTTTAAATTCTTTAATTTAGGTACAAAAGAGCAGAGATTTGAAGCTCTACTTTCCCATTTTATATAAATGTTTCATGAACAAAGTTACTTGCATTTTATTTATGGGTAATTGTAATTGATAGATGGGATATTCTGAAAATGTCGTGAGTGTCCGAAAGTTATAGGTTGTGCGAATTCGGCATTTAGCTATAGGCCTGTGTTATAGATAAGTATAACTGATCAATTTGTGAAAAACAAATGACTACGAGACAGATAAATAGATCCTATTACAGTATGCATATTTAATTAATTGCTAGGTGCTTTGTTTATCTAACAAATCCAAAATGGCCAAAAGGGAGAATTAGGCTAACATTCTAGATTTAAGCAGACATTGATGAAGTAATTTGATTTCAGAAATGAGACAGAAAATGACTGATAAATGCATAAACGAAAGTGTTTATGCCACCCGTTTATTCATTTTTTTTATAAATATTGTGGAAAATAAGCTTTTGTGTTAAGATTTCTGTTTTGTCTCGTGTTTTCTGCTAAGTAACATTATTCATTTCTATTACATAAGATGGTTGTTTTCGTTAATTTAAAAGTCATCCTTGAAGTAGGATAGTCGTTACTTTAGTTCGAAAGTGCGGATATGATATTAAAGATCAAGGAAAAGTTCTCGGGTCTTTGAGATCTGTAACTGCATTTTTATCTGTAAATGTAAAGTGTGAATATTACTGTTTTTGTCTTATAGTATTAGCTTATACTTACATATCAGTAGCAATTATGTTTATACGAGGTTACTAAGTGCATCGAGTGACTTCTTAATATCACAAGTGACCTGCTTATAATCTAATTCGGCGCTTCCCAAACAAACTGTTGGAATTTATTGACCATTTACTCTCTATATACATGCATACAGGCTGTCCCATAAGTCTGGCTCTGTTTGATATTTGTTTATTCTTTTACAGATGATACATGGTGTTTAGTAAGGAGGAACAAATTTGAGTTACTTATGGTGTGGTTCTTCAGTGTGAGGTTGCCGAAAAGTTTAACACACTATATCCAGACTTCTCGCCAATAACCGTACAGCACTTGGGATGTAGCCTTTTAAACTCTTTGGTAAATTTACAGTGAATGACCTCACTATAGAGATAACTAATTCATTTCTCCTTACTCAGTGTCATGTTTTATATGTAAAAGAATAAACAAACATCAATGTAACTCATATGGAGCCAAATTTATGCAACATCCTGTATTCAAATTGCATGTTTTGTATGTATTCAGGTATGAATAAGTGTAAACCTGAATTAGCAGCTGGAATTAAATGAATACACTAATTGTATTGAAAATAATTATTCCATAATAACAGTTGTGATTCTTTCAGTATATTTTCGGAAAAATAAATATGTTTTCAGAATATTTGACCTTTTGGAATTGGTCTGCGGACCCCAATTTGATAAACATTAAAGTAATTAAAGTAAACAATAACATTTAATAAACATTAAAGTAATAATTAAAGTAATTAAACCACTGGTAAACCATCATTAATTAAGCAAGCTAAGGCTTGGCTTTTCTTAAGTATGAGGTAGATTGCCTTAGAATCAGTTTTAATTATAATACTAAGACGAGACAACCAAAATATGGCATGATGAGTGTGCTGGGTCGTGCAAACGAGTCATTTGCCCCATTGGATTAGGCCTTATAACTGAGGCTGGGGGATTTGAAATGTGGAACCAAATAATTAATTCCCTAAGGAGTGTTGGAAAATTCTATTCTTTGCCTCACTCCATGGTATGGTAAATTACCTGTTATGCACACTATTAGCCTGATTTAAGTAATATTTATAATAGTGGGAGTATGTCCCTTTGCCCCTTTTGGAAAAGTTACAGCAGATGTTCCTGTATAGGATTTTTTACTGTTATATTAGTAAATTTATATGTTGTAAGAGCACTGATTGTAAAGAGAACTGTTTTATTGCAGTAGTGGAAGTTGTTGTAGCATTTGTTTTGTTAAGAACTACAACAAGTTCCAATCACTTCTTGTTTTGGATTGGTGCTGTGGCCTATTTCTATCATTTTTGTGCAAATACAAATACATTTGACACATAAATGATAGAAATAGGCCCACTTTTAGTATATTTACGGAACAATCTGCGTGTGCCTGGCATTCCTCGGGCTTATGAGTGAATTGGTGAGGTAGAGATAGAAGATGGTGATAAAAATAGTAGTCTTATTAAGTAAAATGTACATTTATTGATCTCATTATTTACAATAATGGAATTGCAAAACAAAGATATTGCTCGTACAAAAGTTAACAGAGTGTGGGACCTCAATATGTTTGTTCCATAGACTTAACATTGTACCTTTGTCTCTTTAGCGGCATCATCTATGGGATAAGAGCTTTAATTTGATTCCTGAACCATATTTTTATCCCCAGCCATTTACTCAAACTAAGTCAGACAAACTGAAACCCTCTTTCAATTACTACATAGATATACAAAATACAGTGGGATTGGTAAACAAACAGTTCGGACTAAGAACAAATCGGATAAAGAACACTTTCGCGAAAGATTTTTGTGTTCAGATAACGAACACCTCGCAGAACAAACACAAGAAGAAGCGACATAAAATAATGAATACCGATTGGTCTTCCCTTTTCTTCTGGCAACAATTCGAAACTTTTCGGAGCATGGGAGACGTTGATGTCGACTTTCAACCTGGTATATACTGATCAGATAGTATTCCTCCAAACTTTGTGAAACTCTTTCTTGTAATTCCAGTCTTTTATTTTTCTGACAGAAAGAATTTTTTATATTGTATTTGCGAGACTGTTGGGCTGGCACTAGTTAAGTTTTGCGTCAGTTTTTATTTTTGAAAGGTGAGAGTATAATAGCAAAGGTAGAGAGTGGGCAGTATGGCTTGTACAGGTCTACAGTAGGCCGCAGTTCAATCTTATCTAAGAAAGATACAGTATAATCAAGAAGCTAAAGGGGTAAAAAAATTACTTCTGAGAAATAAAGAACATTGAAGAGCTCGTAATGGAACCTGAAACGGATCTGACGACAGAAGAATGCCAAGAACTCTTAAATGAAGAACACCTAGATTGGGCCGGATGTTGCTTGTGTAATGGATTTATGTGGCCCACGATTAATCTTTCAATATTAGCTACTCAAGTCAGAATAGATAGGTAAAAAATTCTAACACCTAAAAAAAAAAAAAGTCAACAGCTCGCTGTCTGGTTAGAGTTAACCCTCCATTACAAATCTCTTAGGTACAGCGTAGAACGTTGATAAAGCATGATAATGTGAAAAATGTGTCTGTAATCTCTATGTACAATTTAGTCTCTACGTGGTGACACCACAATGAGATCTCGCACCACCTCAAAATCTTCTTAAGGCAACCTCTGGTTTGGCCTGTGAAAAAAGTTTAATTTCTGATTTGGCCCGGGGGCAAAAACTATTGGCCACCCCTGACCTAAATACTTGACGAGATATGTTTTCTTCTGAAAAAGAGGATTAATGCCGATATCTTCTATTCAATAAAGATCTTTTGAAGAAGTGGAAAGATGTCAGAACAATGGTCTTAGACTGACAAAAATACAAGACTATGTATATATATTTTTATTATTACATATAAATAAACGTAGTAAGAAAGTATATAATTTTTTATTTTTGGGGATCTCCGTAATGGATTAATCAAATTCCCATAAAAATTTATGGTAAAGTGATAATCAGTTAACGAACAATTCGGATAGCGAACACAGTCTTGGAGCGGATTATGTTTGTTAACCGATTCACTCACTGTATTTGTGGACCGACCCAAGGCTCATGCATAATTTGGCCTGTCAATCAAAAAATTTCAGCACAACTGTTTTAGATAACTGCACAGCATGCCCATATGTTAAGACAACACCATACCAGCTTCTGTATTATAAAAGAAGTTTAAGAATGACGTCACTATTCTGACAAAACGAATTTGTGTTTAGTTTCTTTTATTAGAATGTCTGGTTCTGTTGTTATTTCTTTAGTAATTTAACTAGAGATCTATGTTGTTGAAGCAACATTTAACTCATTTCTAACAGAGGTGAGTCTAAGTAAAATTTTCTTGTACTGGCTCTTTTGAAGCCTCTGATATATATGTGTGAATGCACTTCAGAAATCTTTCTGATTCATCTGAGTATTTATTAAAACTTTGTACCAAAGATATATCAGAATACAGTAGAAAATACAGTCGACCCCCTATAACACTGTTGATAATTCCATTTTATATGAATTCCATGTTGTACGAGTCACTTAGATTTTACAAATACGTGTGCCGGGCTGTGAACGGCTCACATATTTGTAAAATTTAAGTGACTCGTACAACATGGAATTCATATAAAACGGAAAAATCAACAGTGTTATAGGGGGTCGACTGTATGTAAACAAAAGCATTTTTACTCATTGTTTATACATATTTTTTGATAAATATTCAAACAAAATCATTACAAGTAATTGTGTTAACAAGATTCCTGTTTTATTTTGTGTTTGCTGCTAACAATGCTGTTAATCTGTAGTGCATATTTCAGTGGTGACTAGACCTTGTCACGATAGGAGTCATACACTGTCTGTCAAAAATACACAAGAGTCGCATCATGTTTTTATAGTATTTTAACTATACATAATATAGCTTTCGCTGTTACTTTACTCCTTCAATCATTAAATAATCATTTAACTCCTTCGACCTTATAAATGTACACTAAACTTTACTTAAGCTTTTGGTTGCCTGTTTGAGATTAAGTTGCGAGTTACGCTTACAATTTCTATGTATATTACACTACGTTACAGCTAGAAAACTTATAAAACAATTATGAATGTGTAAGTACCAGGTTTATAAAAAGAAATTGTATAAGTATGTGGGAGGCACAATGAGGATTGGCTTGTGAGTCATAGTTGAGCCACTGTTGATACATAATTATCACTGTTTTATAATAAATATCAGTGTTATTTTATGAGTGACTAAGTAAACAATCATTTAACTTCTTTATGAATGTATCATAAGCTTTCAGTTATCTGTTCCTATTTTATGCCTCTGCCAAATGTAAACATGTGTCACACTACAATTTGACACTGTCACTTTGAAAATGAATGAGTCATTGTCTGAATAATTGCATAAAATATGAATAGTGATGCCACAATAGTTGGAATTTCTTTTCTTGATACATTCTTATGATTTTTGTACTAGTCAAAAGCTCCTTAACTGTGTTTAGATCAGGATAGTGAGGCAATCTTGAGCTATTAGTGCATTGAGTGCTGCTTGTTTTACCTGGAAATTGTATGCTTCTGTGTCAATTTCACATTGTCAAGATTTGAAGCAAGTTTAAAAATGGCATCTGATGTAAAAAGAGTGCATGAACAAGCCTTCTATCTGTAATAGAAAGACGATAATCTTTGCCACCTGTCCTTATTTGGTAAGGACATCTCTTACTTCAGTTGCAGTGTAGTGATAAAATGTCCTTCCTAACAGTGAAAGAGATAAGAAAAACAAAAACTCAAGGTGCTGCTAGCATTACCTAGTTCAACCACATCATAGAGAAGCTTGTGAAGAATTTTTCTGGGAGATGTCACAAGACATTCTTTAAGAACTCTCTGCTTGTAGCCCATTAAACTGGTCCTATTCCCTTATTTATGATCCTTGTTGTATATACATTATTATTATTGGCATAAATCCAAGATGCCAGACTGCATATAAGTAGGTTTTATATAAATCAACATTCGGGAATGAATATAACGCATAGTTTTTGGATCCTAACAAACTTGTAAATTTGTATATGTTATGTTAATCTATGTAATAATGCATCGATTTGTTTGATTTAATTAATGTAATTTGCATCATAAACTTGCCGCAACAGATATTTCTACGTAAACATTACATTTACGTAATTGCCGAAGGTCGTATTTGCGTAACGTAACGTGTCTTGATTCTTCTGATTGTCATTTCTCTTAGTAACAGAGAATAATAGAATACTTCTGCTAATTTTAGGAACCTAACACCCTGTTTTGTACACATGGATTCGCATAACACAGCACTTTTTTGGAATGTAACTTGCCATGTTATACGAGGGATACCTGTACTCATAATATTTATCATTTGTTTTTTTTTTTTTTTTTTTTGTTTGTTTCTTTATACCTGCTCCTCTATCCTTTGTCGTGAACTTGTCTCATAATAAATGTTAACAAAATGTCAGTGAACAGTAGTACATGTCACAAACAGGAAAATTATTATCCAGAAGGAAGAAATCTCAAGGACACTCCCTCATTTATCTTTGTCACATCCAATACTGTTGTTCAGTAGTATTCTGACATCCTTTTTTATCTTTATGCCCATAATTGCAAGACAAGTAGGTGTATCATGCTGAAGTTTCCAGTACAAGAAAGGCAATTTGAATTAGATTGTGAGTTTTCTCGATCATAAGATTGAGTATAATAGTTATTGATAAACAAAGGCTATTTGTATTTGTTTAAATAACCTATTATTGTCTAAATGTTTGGGTTCAAGGCAAAGGAATAAATCATGTGCACGTAATGTATTCGGATGCAATTTGGTCGTAGATAAATGATGAGGAATGTTTATCGTCCCCAAAAAGTGTCAGGAAATCACAAGGCAACAAACAGAAACAAAAGTTGCACACGAAACTGTACTCGTCACAAACGGCATTATACTTATTGCAAGCATCATGTGTGCACATGTGATCACAACATGATTTCAAGCGATTGCATGCTTTATCACTGCTTGGAAATATCTATCTTGTGTTTAATCATACTTTTTTCTTATCAATCGGTATTCAAAATGAGGAAACTAGCTTGTATTTCTGCTGCCAAGTTGTGGGTCCTACTGGCAGACCCTTTGATCATCCAAATTATCATTAAGTATTGCGATTGTCTCATTGAATATACAGAGTGATATGTGTGAAATTCATAAAATTTTAAATATTCAGCACAATGCTGTGTTAAACAGAAGTATGTTACTCGTGTCCAGAGATAGTTTTGGTGAGTTTACAAGTGTCATTTTGGTCCATCACATTGGGACATTGTGAAATGACACCCAGAAGTTCCTGCAAGTTGGTCTGAATTTGCTTTGTACCAAAGGAAGAGTGCATGATGGACAGATAAGAGAACATTCTGCAGGCTGTGATTCAGAGTCCAAAGAATTCATCACACTGTTAGATAAGGTGCGTTTTGGAGGATTGTGCATTAGTACTCAAATGTTTCCATATCGCGTCAACCTGGTACGATCTATGCACATCCACTGTGACAGTGGTGTTGAGTATCAAGTTTCTTTTAAGCAGAAATCTGGCAACCTTCCAATCCACATATGCAACATTTAGTAACCTCTAATTACAGGTAACCCCCCTATAACACTGGAGTTACGTTCCAGAAAATTGCCGTGTTGTACGAATCCGTGTTATACGAAACAAAGAACTAGTGTGAAAAAGGGGGTTAGGTTCCAAAAAGTAAAAAAATATGTTGTTAAATCCTTATTTAAATCGGATTTATTATTCATTTTTTCATAGGTAAAATACTTATTTATTATTTAAGTAAATATTTTATCAGAGGATTATTCATTTTATATGATGATCTCAGCAAGAGCATCATCAACTGGTAACAGTTTGTGGGTGCGTTTGTTAATAGCGGTCGCTCTGCAATGGGAGTGTGCTGCTGTTTGTAGGCATTTAGGAACGACGGTGAAAGAAAGATGGCAGCGCCCGCACTATCGATAGTATCGTGTGGAGGAATCTATAATTCTAAAATGAGCTTTTAGAGGCAAAAGAAGGGTCCCAATTGTTAAATTTAACCATTAAATGGATTATTTGTTGAAAGAGCATTCAAAGTAGCCACAAAAACAATTAGAATGCTCACGCAGAGTTACGCGGAGATATAAAAGAATACACCCTTTATTACATTTTATGTTGTACGAGGGTTTTACCCAATTTCCGAACCGTGTTAGAGTGAACCCGTGCTATAAAAGCACTGTGTTATACGGTGGATGTTCCCAATTCTCAAACCGTGTTAGAGTGAATCCGTGTTATAGAAGTTCCATGTTATACGGGGATTACCTGTACATTACTTTATTTTCTAAGAATGTTTAATTTTTACTTCCCAAACAGATCACTTCTTATTTCCTTTTTTCCTGCATTTTTTAATTAAATTACATTTAATATTTTTCAATAATTAATCAAATTAAAAAGTAATTTAATAAATATTCATATTGATGATTTTATTTCAGCAATTTAGGATGCGCAGAGCAAACGGACTCGTTCAGATATACGAATGCGTTTCCAGATCACCAAGTAAGTAGCTGATGGTTTGCAAATTAATTTACGTTTTTCCTTTATAACTTTAAAATTAAATTATACAAAACTTATTGTGCTGCAAGAATTTTCTGTTGAGCTGGATGCACGAACTTTAGTGAGAGGAAATTATGTAGATTGAGCACAAATCATAAACTTTGCATTTGTTTATAAGCAAAAGTAGACTCACTTATGCCTTATTTACATTTGAGATGTCTTCAGTTACCGTACTACAAGTTTTAAAGAAACCGTAGAAGCTTCACAGTTACGTATATGGCTTCAAAATATTAAATTTTTTTACTACCAGATGTGTAGTAAGGTGTATAAGATCCGTAAGCAAATTATACGTGAACTTGAAATTCATGTATAACTTCACGCAATGTTTATTTATACCAATTTAACAATTACTAGGCTCATTATTATAAGTAAACAGACAGTTAGATGACAGTTTAAACAAGTGATATGAAGTATTTTGTATATTTAAGTTAGCAATTTCAATTAAATGTGGGGCCGTCACAGCCTATCCAACACAGATCACTTTACAAATATTAATAGTAGACTAGTATTAATTAGTAGTTGCTGGCCATATCTTCCAGGAGGTCAATGACTTCTTTTGGTCTAATTACTTCAGTCCCTTCTTTCTATCGGACAAGTGGTATGGTTGGATTCAAATAGAAAAATTACACAATATGAGATTACCGGCCTGCACGACATATGTTTTAAGTGGTTTTTGAGAGTAACAAGTTTAAATATTTGGTCCATTTTTTGTGAAATTTGATTTGTTGGCAGATTACCATTTGATATTCGGCTGTGAATGGTACAGTTTCTTAAGAGTTATACCCCGTTCGCACACAATCCACGACTCACTTCAATCTCGATTTACCCACAATCTGGATTGTGACTGTCGCCAGTGAAACGTCGTGCTGTTCGCACAGGTAACTCGCTCGAGAAGAACCTGGCTATTACACGCGATCATAAAACTGACGTAACTACGCGGTAAGTCACAAACACCAACAAACAAAATGGAAGTTTTGGTTAGAAATAAGTACTTTTTCTTGCCGTACATCTAATAATAGACAGATGTCGTCATCTCTCCAGCTGTCTTTTTTATTTCTCTGTCGATAGCCCGACACGTGTTCTGCAGCCATCTTGTATTTTCTCGCGCGCGTGGGATTGTGGGATCTCTCTTATGACTGGATCTAGTTTCAAGAACTCTCTCCAGTCAATAGCGATTTAGCCTCGTTTCAGTCGAGATTGAAACGGTCGAGAGCGTTCGCACCACGGAACTCTCTCTGACCTTAGTCACAATCTAGATCGAAATGCTCGGTGCGAACGGGGTATTAGCGTTAGGAAAAAATATGATATCTTTTAATGTTCGTTATATTATAGTATTTGTACTTCTAACCCTTCTATTATATATAATAGAAGGGTTAGAAGTACAAAATAATCGAATAATTTCATCTTTGTTATTGTTTTTTGCCCAGGCGATGCCGGGCTCATCTGCAAGTTACATGTATTTTTTGTTGTTTAAACCAGTTTTTGGTGGATTTAGATACATAACAGGAAGCATTGTCTTGCTGAAATATCCACTCGTTTCCTCTTAATCAGTGGTCCAAATGGCTTAAGATGTTTAAATGACATATTTTGATATTTTCTGAAGTCATTCTATCATTATGATATCTGCTTTTCCATTAAAAGCAAATGTTGACCAAACCATGACTTCACCACCTCTCGTCTGTCCTCCGAAATATTCCATTTGTCAGTCCAACTCGGTACTGATTTTGCCTATTCTAATCTGTTTTGTTTGAGGTCATTTGTAAGCAAGAGGGTTTGCCTTGAGTTAAATAATGATAATGTTGCCTGTATTAATCAAAACATTAGCTACTGTTATTTTTTTATTTCTCTTGTATGAGACCTTTTTGGTGACAAACTAGCAGCAATGGCGCACGTAGATGTATGCAATAACGAGCTTTTTAATTGTTAAATTGTTAAAAATTAACATTGTGTGAAGTTATACACAAATTTCAAGTGTGTGTATATTTTCTTTATCGACCTTCAGTTGCCAGTGGGAATCTGGTTTGATCTGGGCCCAGTCTTTTGTAATTTAGCATTCTTGGTGTGGAGTGGGGTGGTGTTCTGTATTAATGCCGACTGACCCAACAACAGACTCCAAAGATTGATAATTTCAAGAATTTTGATTCTGCTCATCACAAAAATCACTGTTTTTGCCTGTCTTACACCCGAATAGGGACCAGTTTCCAGTAAAAGTCCTTCTAGGCAGTATCCCCCGTGGCAGATTTTCTTATACCATTGATTCGACGAAAAATATGGTTACAGGATTTGATAAGACATTCAAAAATGGACTTTCACCAGATGAAGTGTCCGTAAAATTTGCTTGTTTACGGCATTCTGCAGGCAAAACTGATTACTGGATTTAGGAGAAATTTTTGGTGTGCGTAACTGAAACTGTGGGAAGTTTACTTGATGAAATTCTATTATTTCTGCTGCCACGTAATATATCAAATTGCGCATTACTCACGACATTACAAATCTCTCAAACATTTAGATATTTCTTATCAAATTAAATTGTTTTGATAATGGCTGTTAGTTAGATTGTTTAAATTTCAATTTTTGACAAATTTATGGCGTATATTTTATACCAAATCATTCGTCTTCTTGCCGAATAAAAATTTAATTTTAAAAATACACGAACGGAAAGACTTTCCGGATACTTGTTTCAATAGAAACGATATTTTGAGGTTCGTCTAGACTCCGACAAAGAATATCTGAAGTTAAGAATTATCTTTTTGATAACACCGCACTATAAAGATGTGTCAAAGTCTATAGATTTAATATCGGAGGGTGAATTTCGAGCGGAACTAGATAATACCTCTTTATTTTTCAAGTTTGTTATTTCTTATCACTCTTCAAAATTAAAGAAATATGGAAAATAAGTGGAAAAATGTTTTTATTAAATTAAGATCTTATCTTTAAATTAGTAAATTGATTGGAAATTAAATTCTTGCATAGAATAATTGGCAAGATATGCAATATTTTGAAAACTTCATTTCAGATTAAACAAACTGCAGATTACTGGGGAAAATAAGATTAAAAAGTGCTGTTTTTTTATCTTTACTTCTGAATAAATTGATAAATTATTAATTTTTTGATATCTGAAGAACTTATAATCTTAAAAAGCAGGGCTGTGGAGTCGCGTAAAAATCTACCGACTCCGACTCCGGCTAAAACACCAAAACTCCACAACTCCGGCTCTGACTCCGACTCAACAGCCCTGCCAGGGCTGTGGAAGTCGTGTAAAAATCTACCGACTCTGACTTTTCCTTACCATCCGACTCCACAGCCCTGTTAAAAAGATGTCAGGCATACTTGTGAGCTGGAAAAAGATAAAGTTAAATTCATACTTGGGTAAGCAGAACAAACAAAGGAAAAACTTTGTTTGCATTATTAAGTTATAGACTCATGCACATTTGATGGGTGGGCAGATCGAACAGAAATCTGTCGTGTGTGTTCGAGAAAGCAACATTTCTGTCGCCCCTCGAACCAAAATGGTTAGTAACCTGGATGCCTAGCTGTCGAAAGACTAAACCTCCTGCATCTCACTCCTTAACATAAATTTCCTTTCTTTTCAACAGAGCTGTTGTTTGTCCCCAATTCTTTTATTGTGGCAGATGCAACTTTAATTTCTGTAGACTTATTTAATTTACAGCATCCTCTTCTAGCAATCCTCTTTTAGTAACAACTTGCTACCTCTAATACTACTACTCGTATTACTCACACTGGAAAAATGCCTTGTCTGAATACTTTCACTCTTTCTATTGCTCTAAATTCTGCTTCATCCATTGCTACAATGAGACCGAGTGGGCGTGCACCAATACAATTCTGTCCACTGCTGGCACTGTCTGCCTGTATGTGCTTAAATTACTAACTTGTTAGTTGACCAGTTAACAAATGTATTACAAGAATGGATGAAGCTGTAGAGCTTCCTACCTCTATTACTATTATTATTATTATTATTATTATTACTAGTAATTCCTTTCGTTCGATGGTTCTTTTTATATTTAATATTTTAAAGACAAAATTCGCCCAAACAAGGACCATTGTGTTTCAGACCATACAATCCTGACGACCGACCTTCCTTTTTAGGTACTAGCCGCCAAAATGCTAAAAAGTCCTTTTAAAAACCACAAAATTTTCCAATTAAAACATACAAAAATTTTTCTAAAATAGGAACTGGTGACATCCATGGCTTACTTTTACTTCTTCGTGGATATAAAGCCAAAACACCCCAAGAAGGTTAGATGGTATCAAGAAGACATTCGTATCAAGATTGTTCGAAGAAGATGCTAGATATTTATTAGACTCGCTGCTTGCTTAAATGCACAAAGCTGTTTAGTTTAGTTTGAAAAAAGGCTTTGTGTTCACATCTGTATTACCCATAGGCCTGCTTTGCACCACGTCACCATTTGGTCGTCCGTTAAAAATCTGACGAGTAACAAATTGGCAGCAAACTGGTTAAGCAGCTAGCATCTTGTTTACCCAATCTGTATTAAAACTCTACAGAATTCTCGCTAAGTCATGCATCCAACTTAATGAAATTTTTCAAAAATTCTACTTTGTCAAATTGTCCATTTGAGCAGACAATTTAACATTAATATAAAATGATTTTCTATATTTACCAGAATATTTTTAATTGTAACGATTGTATATAAATAATTTAAGTAAATTTGAATTATTAGCAGGTTGACTATGACTATTTTAAAAGGTTACCTTAGGGGTAAAAAGGGAGAGAAAGAAGATTATCTTTGAGAAAAGGTGGGTTCACGTTGGATCGATCGATACCGCCAACCGACTCGAACACCTACAACAAAAATGGTCAAGGGTGTTCACCGTTTAGCCAATAAAAATTGGTGGTGTGCTTTCTCAAAGTGACAAATGACACTGTCCGTCTTTATTCCTGAAAGAGAATCGTGGGTTGCAAAAAACTTGGGATGTGCTAATATTTTTGCAACGCACCTTAGTCTCTACAATGAAAACAGGAAGTCGACATGTAATTGGTTGTTTGAAAACTCTACTGGTTCTTCTGGTCTATTGGACTGACTGGCCAACAGACATTTACATTGACAGACTGTGGTAGCGGTTGCTGCATAAATTCAATGTAGAATCAGTCTTCCGCCAAAGTGTGAACCCACCTTATAATCAAACTGCCGAGAAGACAAATAAACAAATCTTAGTTCTGTTGGTTTCCTTAGTTATACAGTTATACAAATACAGGGTGCTTCAAAATTCATGGGCAAAAATTTAAGGGGTGATAGAAAACATCTAAACAAGCAATTTTCACCATACAATGCATGGGTGGAGAACAAGCGGTGAATGGCTAGACGGTGCCGGGTGTGTTTGAAAAGGTGCACCGCTCGATGTAATGCCTGCATTACCGTAGGCGGTTGCTCTTTTGAGCAGTTTCTGTAGACTTTTGTAGGCTTTGAAATGATTTAATCACATCGTGAGTAATTTACTTAAATTGTTTATATTTAGTGGCTACAAATAATTTTAGATGTATTTCTTGTTTGCTTGGGATGGAAGAATAATCTTCATAGCCTTGGCTATAGTGGGAGATTGTTCTCTACATACAAGGTAGACCGTCAGTAAACCGAGGTATAATAATTATATCTTGGTTAACTGGCTTTTGGGCTACCCTGTATTTTGACTGAGCATACAATAGCTTTGGCCACAGGAATTTCAAAATTATTATTACTTAATGTTTCTGAAGTACGTTGTATCATCATTCTGGAATCTTGAATCTTCTTGTTGATATTCGGAGAGACTTTCGAAGTGCGTAGAGTGAATAAAACCACTGAATGAGCCGAATGTTAGTTCCTGCATCTAATCGACAGGCTGGTCAAGTAGGCTTTCTGGATTTCTTTGTGCGTAACATCTAAATACGGACAAATTTCTGTTAGAAAGTCCTCCTAGGAGATGTCCTCTGTAGGCAGATTGCACGTGTGTTACATTGCCACATCTCATCAAACAAACCGATTTTTGAAGCAGTTTTAAGTGATTCAAATTTGAAATGCCTATGGCCAATTGTCGTATGTTTAACATTTTGAGTGCTTTAGATTCTGTTTGCGGCACTCAAAATATTAAACGTTCATTGCTAATTGTGTTAAATACGTCCTTGTTTAATGTGTTTGTCCTGTAGTTTTTTTTTTATTGTTGTTTGTTTTTATTCCAAATTATAGGACAGTGCTTTGATAATGGGGATTTTACCATGTTTTATTAAGAATGGCCATGAATATCGTCGTGCGCGCTTGCACTAGTTATCCCAAAAATGCATGTTGTGCACGTTATGTGTGTTTTGAAACATAGCCTGAATATTGTCTTGACATTTCTTTATTTTGTTTTTGTTTTTTTTTTTTTTTCATTTTATTTTTGCAGAAAAGTTGCATGTTACCTTATTTTATCTGAACGGCCAACCATGTCGTTGATTTTGTGATTGGTTTACGAAGCATGTTCCGATGTTCGTTACTATGCCAAATTCAGGAAGATATCCTTGCGAGAGTTGTAATTATGTTGCAGTCAGCCGACGCATGCTGTCTCGTCACACCACTATCGCTCACGCATCGCAGGCATTCAAGTGCCCGCTGTGCCCTTTCGTTTCTTGTTATCAGGCAAATTTATATAGGCACAAAAGGGATATTCATGGTCTTGGGAGAGTGACGGCTTGTGAGATTTGTGGTTTTTTTGCTTCCAGTGTAGAAGAACTCATACAGCACAAGGACAACAATCATCAGGATCAGATAGAGTGGCTGAAGAAGAAGTACGCCAACGAGAGAATCCGGCTCGGTGTTGAGAGCAAGGAAGCTGCAGTTGGTGGTGGTCAGAATGAAGAAAAGTTGTTTGTTAACAGAAACAGCAGCATTCCTAAAGATCACGAGGCTGGTACAAGCCACATTAACAGAGGCCTTCCAGACGAATTAGCCATTAAAGACAACAGCATAGAAATGGGAACCCGTCAGCTCAGCCCCCTGAAGATAAGAAGAAGTTATGTCTGCAATGAATGTGGCCTGACGACGATTGACCCCAGGGAATACCTGTATCATAGAAGAGACATTCACGGAGAAAGAATGACAATTCACGAATGTAAGAGTTGTGTGTACGCTTCTCGGCATGTTCAGAAGTTGCAGAGGCATTACACTCTCGTACATCACAAATCTATGGAAGAGGATGAAGATGAATTTATTAACGCAGCTAACAATTCTTCCCCGAAAGATTCAATTGATTCCAACATTCCCAAAGCCAGTAATAAAATTCTGGATGACTACGAGTTTAAGGACGAATTGGCAAATAAAAGCAAGCCATTGCATAGGAAATCAACAGCTCGGAAGTCGGTCGTCAAAGTATTAAAGTGTTCAGAGTGTCCTTTTCAGACTCAGAATAATATTGTCCTTCTTCAGCACGAGAAAGAAGCACACAAGAAGAAGAAATTCTACCATTGCATGCAGTGTGGATACGGAACTAATAATAAAAGCCGTTTCACCAGGCATTTGAAATACCATGCACTGCCGAAATTAAAATGTGAATATTGTGATTTCAAAAGCGCGTACAAGTGGAATATGGATCGGCACATGAAAAATCACATGGAACAAGGTGAATTTGAATGTAACAAGTGTTCTTTCACAACTAATACTAAGCAGTCGTTAACGGTACATTTGGATTATCATCATGGGAATTCTATTCATCCGAAATCCAGAAAATATAACTTAGAAACTAGTTCAGATTTAAGTATGGAACAGTTTGTTATGCAGGATGATTCCGGGTCTCATTCGAGTGCTGATGACGATAGCGATTCATTCGAAAATGCAGATACTTTCGATATCAGTGAAGATAAACCTTTGGATATAAATTATTTCGAAGATTTCTATGAAGATGAACGGGGCAATTTATCAAAGCACGAGTACAAGTACAAAAGAAATTCCGAAAGTACTAAGAAGCACTGTTGTCCTATATGCGATGCTCAATTTCCTCAACTTTCCTCGGTGGGTCAGCATTTAAAAGAAGAACATTCAGAGAGCGTGGAAGCAAACAACATTGCTGTAGTTGTCGACATGCTCACACCCCGGAGGAAAACCAGGAGCAGTGAAAGTTCTATTGAGAGACAACATGAGACGTCTGGCTCCTCAAAAATGCAGGAAAAGGAAAAGACTCGACTGGAACCAACGTGCAACATCTGTGGATATAAGACTAGGTGGACTTCCGAAATGATAAAGCATCAACGCGTTCATTCAGGCGAGAAACCATTTGAGTGTAACATCTGCAATTACAAATGTAGATGGAAGGGTGACCTGACCAGACATTTTGAAAAATTCCACAAACAAAGAATTCCAACTCCCGAATTTCTCAGCCTCGATAAAATAAAAGTTGCTCAAGATGAAAATGGCTCCACTTCTCGTCATTCGGCTGGTGTGGATATGACTCGCGACTCGTTATCTTCGGATCAGGACGGTCCCTTAGATTTGACCATTGCTAACAAAATTGAGAAGTGTGACGACTTCCTGGCAAAGAGTAACTATTTAAAAATTAATCATAAGTTAATCAGCACTAGAGAAAGCTTAGCTCTTAAAAGGAAGTTTGAATATGAACCGCCGCTTGTCGCGCCTCCTTCGAAAGTATTAGTTAAAAAGTACCAATGCACTTATTGCGGTTTTATGACTAAAACAGCATCTCGTTTCCACGTCCACATAGTACAGCACTTTAATAAAAGACCCTTTGTATGTTCCATTTGCGGTTATCGCTCTAATTGGCAATGGGACATAACCAAACACATAAAGATGAAAGCCATCAGAGACAATAGCCATTCGGACGCGACTGTGTTGATCACTGACGAAACGGGGAATAAAAACTACGATAAGTACAAACAGTATTTAGTAGAAGTCGAAGAAAGGAAGGACGGGAGGACGGCGGAGAAACAGGACTTTGTCCAATCCGAAGGCACGAGTAAGAGGAAGCGAATTCAAGATGATGATGACGAGAGCATGGCATCAGGAATAGCAGAACCAGAAAACATAGTTGTTACTCCTGACTTGCCTTTCTCACTTGAAGAGAACAATCAGGCTAATTCGGCTGCAGTTCTGGCAGATCAGAGACAAAAGGCATTCAGGAAATTCTTTTATTGTAAACATTGTCCACTCAAGCACCAAGAGAAGAAATTCGTAGTCAGTCATCTTGCAGTGCATGCCGGAATAAAGCTGTTTTATTGTAAACTCTGTGATTTCTCCACAAATTGGAGGCATGTCATCCTACGCCATATCAGATTATCGCATAATGGAGACTTGGAACTCCTGGAAAGTCGTGTGACATACACGACGGAAGGGCGGATCATAGGAATAACCGACATCAAAAAAGAACACTGGATAAATGAAAACACTGTCTCGCGACCCAAACCCATTGGCGCATCTCTGCGATGCGAAATATGTCCCTATTCCTGCCAGAAAGAAGCTCACATGAAAGTTCACATGAAGCAGCATCAGCCGCGAGACGGTGCAAACTTAAAATGCATGTTCTGTCCGTATTACGTGAAGTTCCGCAAGACATTAATTCTTCATTTAGAACTGCATAAAACTAGTGACGATACTTCTAATGTTGAAGATAACAAAAATAGTAATGCAGATAGCACGAATAACTCTATGAATATTTACAAGGAAGCGAACGAGAGTGAAAATATTGATAATGTAGCGTTCACTTTCGAAAATCTAAATAATCTTTCAAATAGAAAGAAGCGCTTACTCTTAGGTAAAAAGAAACATGTCTGTGAACAGTGCCCCTATCAAACAGAAAACAAAACTCAGTATCTGTACCATAAACAGTTTCATCGTCCAAATAAAGCCGCCAAATATAAATGTAAGCTGTGTTCCTACTGGGCAACTCATCAGCATCTCATGTCTCAACACTTGAAAGTGCATAATATAAATAAATCTTACACGCTGATTGGAATTGATCCTGAATCTAATAAACTGGTCCATTCCAGTCAGGAAGTAGATGAAAACAATAGCCAAGTTGTGGATGGTAACCAGCAGTCGAACCAAATTCAGCCGGTTATTGTAAAGAAGGGGGATGTGTATTTCCGAATGTACAAGTGCAGTTACTGTCCGATGATGAATAAGCGAAGAGCAAATGTTCGCATTCACCAGAAGATGCATTTAAAATCAAAGCTAACGAAATATTCCTGCCCACTCTGCAACTACAAATGTAACAATCAAGGTATTATAAGTGCCCATATGAAGATTCATGGAAAGGATATCACAGATGCTGTGGTTAATAATCCTAATAGCCATGGTGACGTAGAGCTTATAAGAACCAATGTAAACGAATCGGCAAAAAAGAAAATATTTAATTATTTTTGTATGAAATGTCCCGCTGTGTTTAAGACGAGCGCGGATATGCAAATTCACAAGACGTTCCATGGTGCTTTGTATCCTTACCAATGTCCACACTGTGATTACAGAGCTAAACACAAACCTCACCTCCACAAGCATCTCCTAGTCCACACACCTGAATACATTGCAAAGCGAGAGATATCACATGGTCCACCCGTGGTTGCCAATATAGCGGAAGGAGGTACGGTTGCCAGAACCAGTGAGGCCAACCAGATGATGTTGCTCGAAGAGGCTGAGATGAAAGCCGTCATGGCAGGTACGGTTACAAAACGCCCATACAAGTTACACAGGTGTACGTTCTGTCCTGCCATGTTCTTTAAAAGTACGACGTTGCAGTATCACACCTCATTGCACAAGAGTAACGGACTCTTCCGCTGTTCTCACTGCAATTATGCTGTCGACAGTAAAATTAACTTAATGACTCATGATAAACTTCACACCATTCAGCCTAGAAAACCAAAGTCTAAACAAGTTCCGGGATTTATGTGTTGTCCGAAGTGTCCTGCCATGTTCAATAAAGTTGATCGGTTTCATAGGCATTTACGATTGCATGGGCAGAATAACAAGTATACGTGCGAACACTGTGATTATTCTGTACAGCTGCAAGCCAACTTGTTTAATCACAAAGTAGTTCACACCAAGTCCTACGCAGATCGTAAACGAGACGTCAACATCGTTTCATCCGAATTAGCGTTCTCTGCAGATAACATGCCGTTATTTGAAAATGTCAAAGTCCTAGAAGAAAATGATAATAAACCTTACGTGTGTGATCGCTGTCCTTATCATCATCCTCGCAAAGAAACTGTACAAAATCACCAAAAATATCATAATTCAAATGAAGGAATGAAATGTCCTTACTGTGATTACTTCTCTTCACAACCATTATTCATGAGGGATCATATCAAAGTGCATTTTCAGACAGAGATACCTGTACAACCACAGGGATTCACGAAAAACGAGAATGTAGAAATATGGTGCGTGGTCGACGGCAAGCGAGAAATACTGTTCAGAGACAGGGGGGCTGACGTGTTTAAGAGTAAACGATTTTTCCCTCCTGAGGAGGAAATGCAGCAGCGCTATGCAAACGGAGATTGCGATTCAAGTCCAGTTTCTCCGAAGAATGTCTCAATGCTTAATGTTCCTATAGAGCAAACCTCACTTGATACCAAAGAAACAAACAATACAGAAAATCTCATTCCCAATTGTCTTTCGAACGAGAAATCCTCTAGCGACATCGAACAAGTTCTAGGCGATAAAGAAGAATTTGTACCGATTTCGCAAAATGTAACCACTGCCTTAACCAATGAAGAAATTCATGATAAATGTGATGTTAAACTTTCTACCATTAATGGGACAAATGGGAATTTATCTTACAAAAATATGGACGATGCCGAAGAGCTGTGTATAATAGAGGACGATGATAATTTTGTGGAAAGTTCGGATTTATGTGACGAACCAAACTCTATGGTGTTGTCGGCATCGGAGAAGAACGAAGAGTTTGTTGTGGAGGAAGAAGATAAATCAATAAATGCGTGTGGTGGCACGCTTAGTTCTGTACAAGGAAATCTCTATGGAGGGACCAATAATAATACTTTTAATACGGATCTAGTGGATAACGAAGAATTACAGTTAAATTTAAATAGTTATTATTTTGATACGAGTAAAGATAATACTGCCACAAACATTGCCAATGTAGTAGAACTGGAATGGAGGACAGATGAAGCTAGTGAACAGGTGATAACAGATGTCATGATGAGCGAGGGATGCGAACAGATCGGAGAGTCTGAGATGGAAGTGGGAGCACCAGCGAGTGATGACCCATCCTCCAGCATTGGCAGGGATGCATTTGCCGATTCTTCGGCTGAAGACGGGTGCAACCGGAGCGAACTGATGTCGGACACTGATGGCAACATACTTTCCGAGGTCTCCATGCAGATATAGAGATTTAATTATCTAAATCTATTTAAAGAGATGTAATATACTGCATATTTTGTTGAACGACAATAGTTAAACTGGACGCGAAGGGCGCGAAAGTGAAGAGAGCAAGCAAGATGAATTTCGTTCTCATGGTAAGCATAGTCACAAGCTGTAGTTTTGCATCTTTACCAATAGGTGACATTTTAAAACATTCAATATATATATGTATATATTGCATAAATACACTGCAGTTACCACATTAACGTTCCTTTTGTTTACTGTGTTGTGTAATCTTATCACAATTAAATTATATACTAGTATTATTTTCAATATAGACTTTTTTATCTCCTGCTGTGAGTCAAGAACTCTAGTTTGCGCTTGCAAAAGTGCCTAGCTGTTGTGTACTCCCATTGGCTGATGAGAAAATTTTTAACTCTCTTCGCTTTGTTGCATTTCGCGCCCTTCGTGTCCAGTGTAAATCGCGCTTTAAAGTCGAATGCACGAGCAGGAATTTTAAAATAAACGTAAAAACCTGAGAATGGAGGTTATTTGTTTTACATTTATTGAGAATGTCGTGAATTTTATAGGGGAAAATAAAGAGCGATTTATCATAATTATTAGTTATTTACCTGTGTATTTTTGTTGTATAAGTTAATCATGTGTTATCGGAATTAAAGAATGAGTGGTTAAAAAGTGAAAGAAGTTTATTTTTCAACCCATAATTTGTATTCCCACATGTAGGAATTACTAATTTAAATGAAATTTTATGGTAAATTGGATACAATGTATATTAATTTAATATTTAATAGACAATTTGGCTTCCTCTAGAACTGTGCTAACAGTTCATTGGTTAAATATGAATCTTAAATAAAGTTATATTTTATATTGTCAGTCTGTTTTTTCTTTTTTTTTTTAATTTATGTACACACAGAGAAGAGTACAATGAAATTTTATTGTTAGTTGGCACGCGGTGGTGTACAGAAGCCATCCATCCGATGCCACGATACGCTAACAGGTAAAATTATTTCGAATGTGATGGTTGGCAGCAAATGAGTAAGCATTAACATCGAAACTTCACAACAACAGCGGATTTACACTCGGAAAAATGCGACGTACAAAATCCATAACTCGTATTAAAAGTATCATAAATTAAAACCTTTTTGTATATTCACTGTACAGTTTCTTTTACAAGAAATGAATCTTAAGACATATGTTTATATCGTCTCCCGGGAATAAATAGGCTTTTGATACAACGTCACTGAAGCGATGTGATTGTTTGGCATCACCTATAAATAAAACAGATTATTGTTATTAACACATCACAAATGAGATCATTTTAAAAGTTGACAGCAGGGCTGTGGAGTCGCGTAAAAATCTACCGACTCCGACTCTTCCTTATCATCCGACTCTGACTCAACAGCCCTGCCAGGGCTGTGGAAGTCGCGTAAAAATCTACCGACTTCAACTCCGACTCCGACTTTTCCTTACCATCCGGACTCCGGCTAAAACATCAAAACTTCACGACTCCAACTCCACAGCTATGGTTGACAGTCAAATTGTTTAATTTTTGTAGTCCATTTGCCATAACTTCATCCATGAAATGAAGAAACAAAGTGCCACCTCGTCACTGTAGTCTATAAAATGTATATTTCTGCATTGGCGTCCCTTAATTATCACAAATTTAGTTAATTTAATGAATAGTCACTGTTTCTTGCAGAAGCATGAATAAAGTTATAGCAAATGGACTATAGTTTTCACAATTCCATTGTTGTGCAAGAGAGCACTCAGATACACAAACATTTCTCAAAATCCTTACAATGTGTTACATAGGGTTGGGCATAAACATGTGACAAGTTTTAGAAAATCTTTACACCCATATATTTTGTCACAGATGATATTGACAAAAAGATGCCTGATGGAGCGAAGTTTAAGATAGTGGCTTCGTTACTATCCATAGGGCCACTACAATTTTCCAGTCTGCTTGGAACAGAACTCGTCACCTGGTGAAGGGTATTCTGCAGACCGTCACGACACTGAACCTTTTTTCTATCACTTTCTAACCCACATTTCTCAAGGTGGGGGAGTCATGTAAAAGACCAAATACTTCTATCATAGCAATGCACTTCCTTGCAGATCAGTGCTCCCCGACTACCAAACTTCAAGAAGTGCACAAGTAGAATATAATACTGTCGTTAGTATTACCTTGCAGCAAAATAAAATAAAAACTGTCAGGTATATATGCTCCACCCTGTATTAAACATTATGCACAGGAAGACGGGAGAGTTGGATGGTTATTTCTCAATTATGTTAATTGAATTTTCACAAAAAACAATATTGTAAATCAGATTAACAGATGACAATACAAAACACTTACTTTGGATTCTCATTATTATTAAGATTAAAACCTCAATTACAATATGTTACGCAGTTACGGTGCGACTATGCCGATGCAAACAAGCAAGAAGAGGCGATGACGTTTCACGCACACTGTGTTTCTTGCTCGTTTGTGTGGTTGTAATAAATGAGAGCACGAAATGTGCCATCCCCTAACATGCATATTAGGTACTTTGAATTTGAAGAGTTTAAAAAGTAACACGTGATCAGGAAAGTGAGTATCGTGAATGTTTGCCCATCAAAGAATACTTTGTGACTCCTTTCATACCCAAAAATTGTTAGAAAATATACATAATATGCATGTTAAAGGGATGTCGGTTGCAAATTTTATCCTGGAGACTGAAATTTGGAGTATAACATTTTCCCCAAAAGTCAAGACTGCATACTCAGAACATCAGCTCTGTGAATCTTCATTCATCTCTGTAGACTTTCAGCTGATTCCAACATAATATAAAGAATAAGCTTAATTAGGCCATCAATATGTATTGAGATTTTCTATGATTTAATTAATTAAAAATTAGTGTGAAGGTAAGCTAATAAATCTGGATTTTGACATTGGAGTGAGCTCAGAATTGGCCAACAGGTGTAGAGAACAACCTCAGGCATCATGGCTTTTCTATCAAATTACGTAAATACTTACCTGTATAATTTTATAACACTGAAAATATGCGGAGAGTCAACTACCATCCAGAATTTCGGTAATGGTGACAGAATTGTGTGCGTCGTGTAACCCAATTTGTTTCCCCCAGAAATCTTTTCGCAAGTGCCAGAGCCACTGCACAACAAATTCTGACCAGCATGCCAGGTAAATCTCCCAAAGCTTCCTTCAAATGACCAAATGGATGATAATCGTGTGGCAACTGATCCAATGGGCCATAAGATCTGGAATTCCCTGACCAAGTCTGTTGATCCTCTGCTACGATGGGACCATGCTAATGTATAAATTTTGACAACATAACAAATGCGCTTCCATTACCATTTTATATAAGAATTGTAACTTCTTTCTGCTCAAATGTAGATTATTACTTAGTACTGTTAGTACAAAATACATTCATAAGACAAATGGCTGTACAGTACAGTAGAGCGTCGTTTATCCGAATCAATTGGGGGCGGGTTGTTCGGATAACCGATTATGTACAAAAAAAATATATTAACCTATCCCATGTTGAAATTTTTCTCCATTGAAGTTAATCTAGTATCAAAAAACGTTCGATTCAGCACGACACACTAAAGTACCACTCGGAAAAACACCACACGAAAGTACCAGTGCTGCCAGCTAAAACACACATACCAACAAAAAAAACATTGGAGTAGCCCAAGACATAGCCAAAGGTTGCAGCGCCATGGCACTAGCGGAAATTTAAATTTGCTGACTGGAACGCTTTCGGTTTACCGACGTTTTGGTTGACCGCTTTTCGGATAAACGACGCTCTACTGTATTGTCTTCTTTTAAGTGTTTAGCTAGGGGAGGAGGAGGAGTAGATAGAAAGTAAGGATCTCTCTGAGTGGTATATATAAGGTTACTACTCCCTTTACATGTAATTTTGACGTGCAGTTTTTAGGATGCAAAGTCATGGGTCTAAAAAAAAAAGCCTAGTTGTGGTATACACCAATAAGTAGTGCAGTTACATATAAGCTAGACAGAGTAAAAATTAATGTTTAAAATAGAGTGAAGGTTTTTTTTAACTGTAATACTGAAGTTAATACAGAACCTAAGCTAGCAATTCCTACAAGAAGCAGAATAACATACGAGTAACTGAAACAACCAGGAGAAACAGTTAAACTTATAAGTTAAATTTAACTAGTTTTAAGTTAATAATAACTTATTACTAAACAAGAATGCTGACAAAGACAACTCATGCTGGCCTTGCCATCAAAGACAAAGGCATAGAGCCTTTTGCTTTTGGGTTGTAAGGCCACATTAAATGTGCCACAGATCTCCATAAAAACTGAAAATCAAGTTACGTACTTATCGTTATATCAGTCGTGTTTACATTATCTGAATCAAAGAAACTCGAGTTTTAAGTCTTGTACAAATGCTTGTCTGGAGTCGAATATACAGATAACATTTGTCTAACAAAGTCAATTTTCTCCATTCAATACCAACAGTTGGAAATCGGTTGTAATGTGGGTCAAGAAATTTTCTTTCAAAGTACCTCGAAGCAAACTAACACTTGTGAAGTGCGGAATGAACCAACTATTGTATTGGATCTGTATTCAATCATTTATATTCTCTAATACATGCAGGATGCAACTTCGTACATAAGGTTCATGATGAACAGTACAATAGTTGCCATGTATCCCTGACTCCCTTCTCGTGATGTCAGATCCTACATTTGGCTAGAAGGGTAGAATAGAAAGATACAAACACAATTTAAATTACCAAACTTCTCTGCGTAGCCTTTGCTCTTGAGATACTGCCACACATTTTTTTGACAACAGCTCCCCCTTTTGGTATTTTAACCAAGGAAAAACCATTGTACTGATCTGGAGATGCTCTATGATTCTGTAATTTAGACTGTGCCAGTGTTGCCTTTTGTAAGATTTGGCCTCGTGAGAAGGGGATGGGGGTGAGTGGCAACTACATTACTGAATAGCCTTCTACCAATCACACTTGTATTTTAGCTAAATACAAGTTTTAATTAAATTTTGGCTGCTAAAGGTCGAGGGGGTGGGGCAATAAAGGGAGTCACCCGTCGTATCTAGAGTGGGATCAGACTTAATGGAGATTTTACTTGTTTAAGAAGTCTAATAACAACTCATCTCTACCCTCAAAATTAAGCCTTTTGTCTTTTTATAATAATTCAGAATATAAATTCATTTGTCACTTGTAATGGTGGCTTAATTTTACATATGGGTACATTCCACTTAATGACAGACTGCGTATACGACGGAGGTCCCGTAAGATTATAACGGAGACGGAGAAAAGGAACGGGCCTACAAATTTTACATTTATATACATAAGTATCAGGACTGTTCCATAAAGTATCCAGGTTTTATGTATAAAACTTATAAAATACATAGTAATTAGTTTGGATTAGTGAAAGTGCTGTAAGGTTGTATGGATTAACAAAAGCATATAGTAAAGAATAGTAAGTCAAAAAGATTCTGCTCGCACTACAGATCAGGACTGGCTATATCTTGTTGCGACAGGAGCAAAATATCACCTACCAGAAATACAGTCGACCCCCCTATAACACTGTTGATTATTCCATTTTATATGAATTCCATGTTGTACGAGTCACTTAGATTTTACAAGTACGTGAGCCTTTTACAGCCCGGCACACGAATTTGTAAAATCTAAGTGACTCGTACAACGTGGAATTCATATAAAATGGAATAATCAACAGTGTTATAGGGGGGTCGACTGTACTAGAGTTGTGTTTTCTATATAATTTATAAGGGATCACAAGCGACAGTTTAACCATTGCGCATATAGCTATTTTTGTATATAAGGTGCTAAAATTTTATTTATATTTTCCATATTGTTGAAAATTATTTATTTCTGCTGTCAATATACATTAATCAGAAGAATAATATACACATTTATACAATTAATAAAAGTGTTAGAATTTTAATGAAATTACACGGAAGAAAGTATAAGGTCGCATGATATTTTCTGCAATTATATTATTAATAACCAATGAATCTTCCTTTATTTTGAATAACCTTTATCAGTCTTCAAGCTATCAATGAAGAAAGTTTATTTGGTATGGCACTGTCCCATACAACACGGGGGATACGTTCCACTTTACGGGAAATTGCATTACCGAGATATGCATTATTGGATGATTTTATGCAAGTTTACATCTATGCCTAGAATTTAAACCAGATAACATACCTCTGGATGACAAAATTAGAATTTTGTATGAGTTCTAGTTGCCATTCTTTC